CAGGGGCAAAATAGTCCTTGCGACAGAAAATCTTAACTTCTGTGTAGCTTTATCATTTTCCTGAATCAGCAACAACTGGGCCGCAGTTGGCCTCACTGCATTATTTTGCCCCTGCCGATAATTCAACGCCAACCCATCGGCATGATCATCTTATCCTATTGCTTTTGCTTCTGGGTTTGTAGGGCATAAGTTAAAAATTATTAATTAGAGTATTTTTAATTAATTTTACATAAATTTTTATCTAAAATTTATAATTTAATATATTTTTTAAGGTTAAATATTATATTTTGTTTTAATTTTATATTTTATATTAATTAAATTTAATATAAAAATTTATATAAAATTAATTAAAAATACTGCATCTACCTCCCTAAAGAAACCCATTCAGCTACTCTACCCTTTTGTCAAGAGAGCAAAGCCAAAGCCTCCTTCGATAGATACTGATAAAAGAGAGGAGGTGATCCCCTGATTTCGATCTTGGAGCACGATTCCGATCATGAACGACGGAGAAGATGCAGCTCGTCGCCGTAGTGCCGTCACAGACCACCGCAAGAAGCTTCTTCAGCACAAAGAGCTCGAATCCAGAGTTCGCACAGGTCTCCTCTCTTAGCTCCTTGACCTAATCCTAATCGCTGTGTCTCAGATCTTCACTCTTTTTCCTGATCTGTTTTCATTAAATTTCCATGACTTCTTCCTTTCAGGATTTAGGAATTTTGGTTTTCGTTTTAGCTCATTCTCGATTACATTTAATCGTGTTCTGTATATCGTTTAATTTGAAGGCCTGTTTTACTCTCTTTTATTTTTATTTTTTTGGATTTATTGATTTCAAAATTTTCTTTTGGAGATTCTGTGACCAGAGGAAAAAAGTTGAACCTTTGATTTCTGTTTTGGAACATAGGACTCTTCTTAGTGGTTATGGTGCATCATAACCCTTGATTTCTCTTTTCGAGCATGAGACTCTTCCTGTGCTAGTGGTTCTGGTGCACAAGTGTAGTGGTTCATAAGACTTAGTTGTTAGTTGTTCCCATGTATATGCAGTGAGGGAGAATCTGAGAGGTTCAAAGAAGGAATTCAACAAAACCGAAGATGACTTGAAGTCTCTCCAAAGTGTTGGGCAGATTATTGGGGAAGTTCTGCGGCCTCTTGATAATGAACGCTGTAATCAATCTTTCCTTCTTTTTTTTTTTCTTTTTTTCAGTTTTTCTGATGAAAGAGTTTCCTTTCTGTCTTCAATGCCTTATTTTTTTGTTCAAAATACATTTAGGAAATATATAGTATTCTGGTTTAATTTTATAGCATGCTTATGATATTAAGGCTTTGGTTTGATTCCAGTGATTGTTAAAGCAAGCAGTGGCCCTAGGTATGTGGTTGGCTGTCGCAGCAAAGTAGACAAGGAGAAACTGACTTCGGGAACTAGAGTGGTTCTTGATATGACAACACTTACAATCATGCGGGCTCTTCCACGTGAGGTAGGTTATAACATGTCTATGGCTATTCTTTTTTCACTTTGGTATTTTTTGAAGTATAAATGCAACATTGCTGCTTGATGTCCAACATTGTTCTCTATTTTGGATGACAGGTTGATCCTGTAGTTTACAATATGTTGCATGAAGATCCTGGTAATGTTAGCTATTCAGCTGTTGGTGGTTTATCTGATCAGATCAGAGAATTAAGGGAATCTATTGAGTTGCCTCTTATGAATCCTGAGCTCTTTCTAAGAGTTGGAATTAAACCTCCCAAGGTAATTAACACTTCCTCCGTCTGTTGTATGATTGATTGGAAGGACCATAATTTGCCCCCATTGTGTTTTGGAATTTGGCATGATGATATTTGCATGAAGTTTTGTTGATGATAATCTGCATTTTTTTTCCTTTATTCCAGGGTGTTCTACTTTATGGCCCTCCAGGAACTGGCAAGACACTGTTAGCCAGGGCAATTGCCAGTAATATTGATGCCAACTTCTTAAAGGTTATTTTCTTCCATATGCCTTCCCTTTTTGGTTTTCTATTCCTGTTATATTCCCTAAATGAATAAAAACAACCTCTCTTCACTTGATTCAGGTTGTTTCAAGTGCAATAATTGATAAATACATTGGGGAAAGTGCAAGGTTGATACGAGAAATGTTTGGATATGCACGTGATCACCAAGTAAGAGCCTTGAATTTTCAATGATTTTCTCTTGTGGCTTTTACCTTCATTCTTATGTATTCTTACATTTGCTTCTGCTTGTTTAGCCCTGCATCATCTTTATGGATGAGATTGATGCCATTGGTGGACGCCGTTTCAGTGAGGGAACAAGTGCCGATCGTGAAATTCAGAGAACATTGATGGAGCTACTGAATCAGCTAGATGGGTTTGATCAGCTGGGAAAGGTACTTTTTCTTTTGTTTTAATTAGTCAAAGATCGAGCTATCACAAATGTTTCGTTTTTAATTCCATTTGAGTGCTGGAGTTCTAGAATCCTCTTAAAATCCCTTGGTATGTGCCTTGAAAGGACTGTTCACTGACCTGTAATTGTTTTAATACCGTGAAGTCTTTCATGCATCTCTGAATGTGTCTTCTGTTTTTATTTTGCATATATGCTTGCTTTTTGTTTGGTTGGGCTAGAAATCTTTAGCAAGTTATTTATTTATTTTTTCCTTTAGGTTAAAATGATCATGGCAACAAACCGACCTGATGTTCTTGATCCTGCACTTCTTCGTCCCGGACGATTAGACAGAAAGATTGAGATTCCATTGCCAAATGAGCAATCAAGGATGGAAATTCTCAAGATTCATGCTGCAGGAATTGCAAAGCATGGAGAGATCGACTATGAGGCTGTGGTCAAACTTGCTGAGGTTAGTTAAGCAAAGTTTTTTTTGCTTTCAAATATGCACTATCGGGTGTCTTGCTAACTGTTGCAGTTGTTTTAGGGGTTTAATGGAGCTGATCTACGAAATGTCTGCACTGAAGCTGGAATGTCAGCAATCCGTGCAGAACGAGATTATGTCATCCATGAAGATTTCATGAAGGTAGGACCCTTTAGACAATCTTGCTTGCTGTTCCTCTAACCCAACAGGGCAAATGTCTTGCTTGTGCTAAATTTTTAGGTGGAGAATAGGTTTTCTATTATCTGATATATAACATAGAAGTTAGTATTATTTGGAATAATGTCCTCACTTTGCAATAAAATTGCAGGCTGTAAGAAAACTGAACGAGGCTAAGAAACTGGAATCTAGTGCACACTACAGTGCTGATTTTGGGAAAGACTAGAATACTCTTCTTCCTCACAGAGCCATGGAGTGCTGGGCAGTGCATTCATTTCAGACATCGTTAAGCTGTACTTTCTACAATTTTTTCCTCAACTTTATCTTAAACATCGTCCAGCTATTTGTAATCGGAATCTTGTTATTTAAAACTTTTCCCATATGACTACTCATTTGCAACGTGGTGCCAATTAGGCAATCCGTTTCATATAAGATTAAACTACTTCTGTTTGGCGTGTTATTTCTTACATACCAATTTTCCCGGATCTAAGATTCTCATTTCAGTTTGGTGCTGACCGACTTTCACTTGCTGGTCATTTTTGGGTTTTGGAGGTGCTTAGGTTTTTCCGTCTTACTGTTACAGGTATATAAGCTGACCAGGCCCTGGTTGATTAAGACCTCACATTGGAACGTGAAATTTTTAACCATACCACTCTTACGTTGCAAATCAATAAAGAAATGGTAGAAATATCATTTTATGTCATATACTAGTTGAACATCTTAGAATTAAGATGAAAATTGATGTCATTATCCGACAATGCCATTGCTATCTGCCCCTTCCCGATGATGAAAACGAGTGGAAGAGCTTTTCAGTCTGCTCTCTCTTACCCGCATGCTTACTCAAATTACCAACAATTACAGATTGAATTAAATTATCTTATATACGAGTTGAGTAAATTATTAAATTAAAAAAAAAATTGTCACCCATTGTATTAAAATAAAAACAAAAAAAACAAAAAAAAAATTGAAAGTTCGTTTGGTGCAGTTTTTTAAGTACTTTAATTTTTTGACATTATTTATGTTTCATAAATATAAATTTTTTTCATAAAAATTCATATTTTTAATTTTTTTTTTAATTTTAAAAAAATCATAAACAGTAAAAGATTA